TCTTCCTTTGAAATGATCTTGAATTCTTTATGGCCTCATTGTGTATTAACCGTCTATTATCCGAATCCTAAGAATTTATAGAAGTTAGAGGCGCTCTGGAAAGAGTGATTCAGAGAAGTTCCTTTTGTACAACATTTGGCAGGTTCATTGTTCAGGTAAAAACTGGTAAATGAAGGGATCATTTTGATTCCCAAAGGGAAGGCTCAATATTGTCTGTATGTTTCTGCCTCTGAATAACACAGTAGGACTCACATGAATAATCAGGCAGGACAACACGTGGCTGGTTGCTCTTCTCAGCAAATGGTTAAACTATCTGTGCTGGAGCATCACAGCTTTATTATCTCTGCTTCTCCTTCCCTCTCTCCTTGGTAAAATCAGCGAGAAGACCCCTTCAGCTGCTGACCACAGCCCTTCCCATGTAATCTTTGCCACTGTGGGGGCATTTTACTAAGAAGAAGGGACAAAAAGGAGGGAGATACCTGAATTCTTCACCAGAAGTAGATTCCAAAGACATGAGCTTTATTATCTCAGTGTAATGAGATCCCACTCATCAGTGTAATCATTAGCCTCACGGGAGCCAAACGGTCCTCTTTACTCCGGTGCAACTTTGACAGTGCTGGGGTAGAAAAGAACCAGAACTGGCTGTTGTCTACTGAGCATCTATGTCAGGGGACCATGACTACACGCTAACTTTGGACCAGTTGGTGTTGAATACTGGGACTGTGCACCATCACCCTGCTCAGATTGCTTCAGCTCCGTAGGGCTCATTCTCTTTTTAGGCAGGTAGGTTGTACTTAATATGGAAAGTAAAGTAAGATGAGCAATAAATGTAGATTTATTAATGATATGAATTTCATAGCCAGACAAAGTTGGCTTCTAGTTGAAGCCTAGATGTAACCTGAAGAAAGCTTTCATGGGGCTGGAGAGATGGCCCGGGGCTAAGAGTGTTGACTGCTCTTCTAGAGGACCCAGGTTTAATTTGCTGCACATACATGGAGGTTCACAACGGTCTGTAATTCAAGGGGATCCAATACCCTTCTCAGGCTTCCTTGGACATTGTATACATGTGGTTCACAGATATACATGCAGCCCGAATACCTATACACATAAACAAATGAAGAGGAAGCTTTCACGATTTTTTTTGCACCAAATTGACCTATAAATGTCAACTTATGTAATACTGACAACTGAGCACACAATGGAAATGAAACCTCCCATTCCTTCTGGTTTCTTGAGTGGTGACTACTCAAACATTCCTGGAATGCCTTCATGGAGGCTTTAAAGGCATGAATGCTGGCTAGTTTTTTTTTTTTTTTTTTTTTTTTTTTTAAATTAACTTGATACAAACTAGTGCCACCTGGGAAGAAGGAACTTCAGTTGAAGAATGCTTTCATCAGATTGGCATGTGGGCAAATCTGTGAGGGCCTTTTCTTGATTAATGATTGATAAAGGAGGGCCCAGCCCACTGTGGGCAGCTCCATCTCTAGACATCCTAGGTTGTCTAAGAAAGGAGGCTGAGCAAGCCATGGAGGGGGGAGGGGCAAGCCAGTAGCAGCACCCCTCCATGGTCTCTGCTTTAGTTTCTATTCTGATTTCTCTTAGTGATGGGCTGTGACCCGGAAGTGGAAGATGAAATAAATCCTTTCCTTCCCAAATTGCTTTTGGCCATTGTGTTCATTAAAGCAACAGAATCGAACTAGGACAGCTTGTTAAAATATATATGTAAACAATGATCAGCATGGCAGATAACCCTAAGGGTACAGAAGTGACATGCGTATCTTGGCAGAAACCAACAGCTCTCTAGTTGGATTTAAGGCCCATTAAACAAGAGGGAAATCATGCTTGGTACTGGAAACCTAGCCAACTACCCGGGGCTAGTGAAGTTACCAATCTTAGAGGAGAACCTACAACCACCACTTCACTAAACCATCACAACCCTTAATTACACTCTAAATATTTGTCCTTATACCCACAAATAAGAGTAGTCCCCACCCCTCATCAAGGAAATTTAACTTTGCAACAAATGGAGACCATTACAGAAAACTACAATCAAAATGCACAGTCATGGAGCCCAGTGCCAATGAACGTCTACAATACGACACTCACACCTAAGGCTCAGGAAACACTAAAGAAGGAGGTGGGAGGGGTGGGAAGACTGCAAGAGCCAGAGGATCAGGGAGTTTGCTATGAGATTGTGTCTGCTAAGAATGTCAGAAGCTACACCCATAAAGTCTCACCAAGATGACTCCCTAAGCAGGAGCTCAGCAGGGATGACATCAGTAGACTCACTAACAATGACAGGGGGAAGCTCACAAGGCCTCAACCCTACATGAAGAACTACGGGCTACTAAGGAAGGTTGGTACTGGGAGAGTAGTCTTCTCCAGGGAAGAGTACATTAACTGGTTATCCCAAACCAAGTGGTCCGTTCTGAAAACAGACATACAAGTAACATACAGACTGAGCAGATTGTATTTAGAAATATGTATGTATATACATAAACATATATGCATGTAACAACAATTAATGAAAAAAGAGATGATGAATTTTAAAGAGAGCAAGGAAGAGGGTATATGTGAGGACTGGGAGAGAAGAAAAGGAAGGGGGAAATGGTGTAATTATAGTACAAACTCAAAAAATAGAAGAAAATATAAAAAAAAAAAAACGTGTAAGAACACCCTTGTCTCAACACATGGATCTTGCCATGCACATACAGGCTTCTGAACAGTCCTCCTTTAACAGCAATGGTACTTAGACCCATTTCATGCCAGCACATTAGACCTATCATTTTCCTTTGGTTACACTATTCTGCTGAATATGCATGTAACAACATTTAATTCTGCTGAACATGTATAATGTATGATTAAGTAATTTTACCATGGTACATTAGTAGTTTCCAAATGAGTTCTGTAAATAATGCTGCACTGATCATCTTTGTATACTCACGTTTAAGCTCTCTTATAATCGGCTCTTTAAAGTGGGATGCCTATATCAAAGTATGTGGGCATCTGAATTTTAAATAGATACTTCAAATAGAGTAAATGTCCCAACTTCTCTGAACCCCAGGGTCTTGTAAAATCCAAGTTGAAGCAGGACCTAGCTCATGGCTTGTCATGAGGATTAATTGAGATAAGATAACTGTTAATAGTGATGCTACATGAAACAAGTTTAAATGTAAAATGATTTACATTCAGATTTTAGACTAATAGCAGTAACGTTTAGTGTCCAACATCCCAAGTATCACAAAGGGCGTGCTTATGTGTAAAATAATAAAACCTTGAGTGAGGGTGGAACGTGGAAGTAGGTGTAGAACTTAAAAACGAAACCACACCTAGTCCTAGCTTCTCCTCAAAACAGACAATTTCAATAGAGACCGCAGAGCATTTCAGTAGCAGCACAGTTTCCACAAGCCACACAAGATGTCCTTCTCTGCTCCATCATGTCATATCTCCAGTAGACAGTCCCCTGAGAAATGTCACAGATGCTGCAAGGGAGGAGTCCCCACGAGAAATAAACAGCAACACTCTGTACCTTAAAGAGAGAGACCAGTGAGGCTTACAAGGCTTCCTCCATTCCCCTGGTGTCACTGGGCTAGAGAGTCCAGCAAAGCATGGCACTGAAAAACATGATCCAGTTTTGGCTAGAGACAAAAATGCTACAGCTGAGAAGCTTCCAGAACAACATGTACTTGGATCCGTATTAAAGAACAATCCTTTGAGCTCTTGAGCCAAATGACCCATCAGGGTTGATAGTGTGAGGCGCATTTCACAGTTGTATAAATATTTAAATCTATTTTCCAGCCTATAAAGCAAGTAAACTGGGCTGGTTTTGAAAAGCTGCACGGCAGAATTCACCTGACTTCCTGGGGATACCTACCCTGTTCCAACAGTCTTGGCTTCTAGGAAGGGATTTCTAAGAAGCAGGATGGGAATGATCAGCTGGAAAGCAAAGCTGCTTTACGTTTTAATGAGTTTGTTTCAGAAGGCAGGATCAGTGCACTGTATCCGACTGCAAGTGGTCTGTTCTTCAAGGCCTGTCCGACTTTGGGCAACTCTAACTCACTTGTCACCCAAAGCTAGATCCGATGAACACAATTGCTTTTCCTCACAAGCCCTTTGTGAACGTGGTGCAGACTGGGCATGGGACTCCTTTACATACATACACATGCTTCAAAGAAAGCTAGCGGTCTATTGATCTCTGTTCTGAGTTGATAGTCTTAGGATATTAGAATGCCACCAAAGCCACCTTTCCACAGCAGCACGAGGATACTGTGGAGGTTTCTTCATTTGTTCTTTCAGGCACCTTTTTTTTAAAAATCACCCATCCTTCTTGTCCTTTCCAAAATTGTAACTTTTCCTTTTATTTGCATTTGACCCATTGCCCTGGACTGTTCTCTTTTGCTGTGATCTTATTGTCTTTTTGTTTCCTGTTAATTGACGTCTGAGACAATGGCAGTGCTGTTTCTGTACTTACTAGCTGAGAGCTTGAGAAGAATGTAAGTAGTTGGATCTTCTGAGAGACCACAGAGGTTGTATAAAAAGGGCATCAAGCTGGCATCAAGGCTTGGTTTCACAGACCCTCAGCCAAGAGTTCGGCATTTTGAGCTTTTTCTAGGTGTGTCACTACGCACCAGATATCCACAGACACAGTATTTAACCTCTGTGACACCCATATTGCTCATTGGTTGTGAATGAGTCCCTTGACTTCCCACTTTAGCAAAGTCTTGTCTGGTTCTTCTACTCCATTATGTGCATATGGATATAACCTTTGCTTATACTTTTTTTTTTTTTTTTTCCGAGACAGGGTTTCTCTGTGTAGCTTTGTGCCTTTCCTGGAACTCGCTTTGGAGACCAGGCTGGCCTCAAACTCACAGAGATCCTCCTGCCTCCTGCCTCTGCCTCCCAAGTGCTGAGATTAAAGGCGTGCGCCGCCACCGCCCGGCTTGGGTTATACTTTTTATTCTTCTCCATTGTTGAACAAAATATTTCTGTTCTTTTCTCAGACTGCAGAATGAAAAATGGATGAATGTTAAAGTTGGAGACATCATTAAATTAGAAAATAACCAGTTTGTTGCTGTGAGTATTCACTATTGTATGACTCAATCTCAGATTAGAATAATACACACTTAAGTATTTGCATTTGCAAATTTAGTAAATCTGCGATAATCTGGAGTCACCAAGGAAGGATTACCATTATACATTAGAACAAGTTTCAATTATAAATATAAATTCAAATATAAAAGACGTGACTTTCAGTGACATGGTGACTTGGATAATGCTGGGATTAACGCTAATTTTCTCCCTGTTTGTTCCCGTAAGGAAATTTATACAAATGCAGAACAATTTAAATCAATATGTAAATAAGAGTTTTAAAAAATGCTCCTGAGTACCCTAAATAGTTTATCTTCATACATTTTGAATGCTATTTCTTAATATTGCAATTAGTGTTCTTAAATGGCATCACATTTGAAGAAAACACACTAAAGATAAAATTCATGTTATGATCCTAATTGATAAAACGTGAACTAGTGCGGATTTTGCACATCAAATGCATCATAATTTATATTTGCAAGCAGCCAGTGTTGCAATTTCTTAAGTAAAAGTCAGTCCAGTCACTAAAATGTAGATGAATAACTGCAGTTAAAGTCAAATTTAAGATGATAAAAATGGTGCAGATCAGGACTGAAAATTCAAATTATTATATTGATTGTATCAAATGTATATAAGATCACATAAAAATTTTTATGTTGTATGCAGTTTTCTGAATCTAACTGTATTCTTTATTAAAGTTTTGATATTTTATGAAGGAAGGAAAAATACGGCCCTATAATCTCTTAAAAAAAAAAAGCAACCTAGTGGAGCGTGCTGGACACTCCCTCTCAGAATCCGCCTTGTACCACTGAATCCTCTGTGCCTGGAGAGTGCAGAGGAGCATGCGTAAAGGAGCTTCTGGGTGGACCACCCATTTGCCCACGAGCTCATACTTCAAGTGGCTTATTCTCTGGCAACCTTAAGGTTTTGGAAAATAGCTGGGAACCCACACAAAAATAAGCAAGATGTTGTCAGGACAGCCAAAACAGAGGTCTCAAAGTCTGTGCCCTGTGGCTTGGACCCCTCAAACATGGTTTGAGGTTCTCATTCATAATTGATTTACTTTTATTTCATGTGACTTAAATGACACCTCTGGCTTATTTTCCACCCAGTAAAGATGGGGGACATAAAACTAGGAGGTGACACCTGTTAACAGAACACCCTCTGTTGGTGGGGTTGAGGTAGATGATTAAAGGAACTGGCTGGGAGCCAAGTCTCTGTGTACTGTTGCAATGCCTCCCATGAAATGAATCCCAGGGGGCAAGCATAAGAATGTATTTTGGATTTTAATTGCTCTGTATTCAAATGCCTACGTATGACCTGTAGTTCCCACATTGGACATAGCAGATATCAGGGAGAGAATGCTTATGATTCTCTCATTTTCACGAGGGAGGGATGGCACCAAACCCATACTCTTAATAGCTTGTATCCTCTCACCCTTCCCCCTGGCAAAGTATGAGCAAGACTCTTAGGCTCACAGTCCCAAAGCCCAGGCTCTACCTGTGTTAACACTTTTAAAACTCTCCATTCTTCTCTGCTTGACTCTTTGGTTAAAAGAGAAGAAGAGGATCTCCCAAGTCCTCCAAACACCACAGCGCCTTTTAACCAAGTCATTTCACTCAAGGGTTGACCATGTGTAGTTATTGCACACCTATGAATAGTTTCAGAAGTGAGCAAAGCTTTTATAGACAATGCACTTTAATCACCAGGGACATCTAGTGTTCCCCCCAGCTGCCTGGAGGCAGGGCCTGCCAGGGGGCTTATGTCTGGGGAGTGATATTCACAGATATCTAGGAAGATCTACTTAGGGCTTTTTATTCTGGAGTATACCTTAGGAAGTCTGCGCATGAAGATAATGACCACAGTGGCTAAGACTATGTCACATAGTCTTATATGAATCAATTAGCTTACTGTTGGTCTTGACCCAGGGAGGGCAGTTTATGTACTGTTTCATTGTTTACACTTTGTAGAAGGTAAGACAAGGGCATGGTACCCACAAATGATTTTCTAATGGAGAGCCAAGAATTAAGTCTGATACTCTAACTCTGACCCCCCACTCCTCAAGCACTACAATCTATTTTTTTTCCCAGCAATTTACAATTGCTTTGAGTCTGGGTTTTCAGAATTGGGGGCTCCAGACCTGGCTGCTGGAAATCATATGATCTGCCATATACTCAGATTTAGTACACATCTATCTGTTCAAAGTTAAAACTTTCAACCTGATTTATATCTCTTTATCAATAAAATCTGGGCACGAAAAGGAGTTCACCTGAAATTGCCAATTTGTAGACATACTGAGAATTAGGTACCTTTGTTTCCCCAATCTCCTCTCTCCTAGTTTGGTTTCTCTAGCTCTGACAAAGATCATGTCCAAAAGCAGCTAGGGGAGGGGAATGTTTACTTAATTTTACAGCTCATGAAGGGGTCAAGGCAGGAACTCAAGCTGGGCAGAGACCTGGAGGCAGGAGCTGAAGTAGAGGCCATGGAGGAATGGTGCTTACTGGCTTGCTCTTCATGGCTTGTTCAGTCTGCTTTCTTCCTTCCTTCCTTCCTTCCTTCCTTCCTTCCTTCCTTCCTTCCTTCCTTCCTTCCTTCCTTCCTTCCTTCCTTCCTTCCTTTCTTTCTTTCTTTCTTTTTTTTTTTTCAGAGCTGAGGACCGAACCCAGGGCCTTGCCTAGCAAGCGCTCTACCACTGAGCTAAATCCCCAACCCCCAGTCTGCTTTCTTATACAACCCAGGACCTCATGCTCAAGGACAGCACCTCCTACAGTGGCCTGGGCCTTCCCACATCAATCACTAAATCATGAAAGTGCCCCACACACTTGCCTAGAGGCCATTTGATGGAGGCATTTTCTCAATTAGGGTCTCTCTTCCTAGAGGACAAGAACTACACACCTCTTTGTTCCACACTTTCTCCTTCCCTTCCATCTTTCTCTTCTCCCTCCTACCCTCTCTTCTTTGTTAATTCAAGAGCCCCGAATTTGGGACTGAATTCTAGACTTCCACATTTTGTTTGGGGATTGGAAAAAATGCATCATGTAATTCATATGTCACAGTGAGGTCAACTTGCATTAGGAGAACCACATAACTTGCTGGACACACATTAGAGAGTTCTTGATGGCACTAAGCTTTGAACCTGGAGCTGGGCATCCCATTCACACTGGGCACACATTCAGCACTAGTGCTCTTGGTTTGCTGGCTTTTCTGGTGGTGGGAACAACCCAGGTACCGAACCTGACCATGTTGAACACTGAGAATTTGGCTGTGTAGAAGGGTCTTCCCTAGAGGTATGCGCTTTCTGTGTCTGCTCTAGTTAAATTCTTTGTTGTAAGATTTAAGTTGAGAATCTCTAAGAAAATATTAAATATTAAAAAAACCAGATTCTTGTGAAAGTATAAAAGGTCAAAACACAATTTTCTCCTCAAAATGAAAATAGAAGTAAGTGGTCAGTTCTCCATTTCTAAGTCACCAGTTCAGAAGGAAAAAATAATTCCTTCTGCCCAGAGAAAGAGCTTGTATGTGAAGAAGCGCGCGCGCGTGCGCGCGCGCGCACACACACACACACACACACACACACACACACACACACACACACACTGTTATTCTTCTAGCTTTCTTTTTTGTTATTAACCATCTTCTATAAAGAATTTGCTTGTATGTGTGGATGCTGTAACAGGCTCTCTTTTGGGCCACTAACCAGCTCCCAAATCATGACACACAGACTTATTATTAGTTACAAGTGCTCGCCTTATCTTATGCTCTTTTCTTGCTAGTTCTTATAACTTATATTAACCTGTTTCTCTTCATCTACTTTTTGCCTTGGGGCCTTTTACCTTTCTTTCATTCTGTATGTCTTACTCTGTGTCTGTCTGTCTGTCTGGCTCCAGACGTCTTCTTCTCTTTCTCACTCATTTTCCCTCCTCTTCTCTCCTCCTACTTGTTCTCTCTGCCCACCAGCACAACCTGTCCCTCTATTGTCTAGCTATTGGCCATTCAGCTTTTTATTAGACCAATCAAGTGCCTTAGGCAAGATAAAACAGTAACGTATCTCCATAGAATTAAACAAATGCAGCATAAACAAAAGCAACACACCCTTACATAATTAAAAAACACAGCATAAACAAATGTAGCACATCTTTGCTTAGTTAAACAGATATTCCACAAGAGGATGTGTATGTGCACACATGTGGCTATGTGACCTGTGTTTTGACCAGAGGAGACTCTGAATGCCTTCTTGTGTTTTCTGTTTTATTCCTTTGAGACATGGTCTTTCACTGGACCCAGAGCTTGCCATCTTTCAGCTGGACTGGGATGTGCAAGTCTCATTGGTGCATAGCTCCGGGGTTACAGGGGTAGGTGGCCATATCTGGATTCATGAAAGTTAGAGATCTGAACTCAGGTCATCCATCATGCTTGCAAATCAAGTGTTTGTAGGCCCTGGGCCATCTCTTCAGACCCCTTCCTTATTTCCAGTTAATTTTTTTAATTGAAAAATGTGATTGCTAAAGCAAAGCAAAACAAAATGATATATCCAGTACACACTGAATAATTTTCAATGTGTACTAACTTTATCTGAAATTTCAAGTTTGAATTAAAATGTTACCAATAGTCACACACAGCATCACTTCCTGCTTTAATTGAGTTTTGACTCATGATGTAGGAATTTTAAAAATTTGTATTTTAGCCGGGCAGTGGTGGTGCACGCCTTTAATCCCAGCACTCAGGAGGCAGAGGCAGGTGGATCTCTGTGAGTTTGAGGCCAGCCTGTTCTACAGAGCGAGATCCAGGAGCAAAGCTACACAGAGAAACCCTGTCTCAAAAACCAAAAAAAAAAAAAAAATTGTATTTTGTACTGAAAGTAGAGATAATGTGGATGACGGTAAAGATAATGTGTGCATTGGTAAAGATGAAGAACTCAGTTTAGAAAATCCTGGAAGCTCCCAAAGTGGTGCATGCTGGCATTGGTTCCGTGAATACATCTTTTTCTCTGCTATGGAGCTAGTATCTCAACACTTGATCAGCAGGATGTTCTGAATGCCAACAAGCAAAGCAGACACCCCAAGCAAAGTGAGACATTTCTGTTTCTCGTAGATGTCATCCCAGTGCCCACAGCCACCAGAGCTGAGTATTTCTCTTGTGATCAGGGGCTCTGAACTCTGTCTCTAGTTCCCTAACTTGAGCCTGGAGCATTTTCAAGGATGGTGCCAAGACTCTAGCCTCTGGCTCTTCAATTGGGCATGGTTCTGATGGCCACTGGCTGCACGTGAGTTAGTTAATTTAGTTCACTGCTGGATATAGGGGGTGCCCTTCCTCCTTCACTGCTGGGTGAGATATGACTTACACAGGCTCCTTGTCCAGACATCAAGAGCAGAATTATTCCGTCACAGAGTTTCAGAGGGAATGAAGTGACTCAGTTATGAGAGTGTTTCATAGGTTCTTAAAGAAGTTCATGGCTGTAGGTTGATATTCCTTGATATTTTCTTCTTTTATTCTTTAACTCAAACAAACAACTCAACAAACCCTGGAGACAATGTCTTTGACTCTGAGGGCTCAAAGATAACCAGCAGGTTATCTTCAAGTTTCCTTTGGTGGGAATACTGCCTTTTGGCTTCTGTTAGGTATCTGCTTGGGTTTTTCTCTTGCCCAGGGAAGCTGGGGGAAGGTGTTTGTGTTGGAAAATGCTGCTTCATTTTTGGGAGTTATTGCTGAGTTCGTGCAACTGGCAAAAGAAAAGACTAGGGGTTAATGGACAAGTGGCCTTGTCCACCTAGGCTTTTGGACAGTTACACTTCCCCTTCCTGTTCTGTGTTTCTGCTGTGCCCTTACCACATGTTGCGCACACTAGCAGTCCACCACCTCCGACAGAAGGATGGCCAGGGACTAGCAAGGCTATTGCTACAATTCTCTTGCTCTTTCCTTTTCAAGATTATTGCTGAGTGCAATAGAAAGACTGACTGGGTGGCTATGACTTCCGGAGTGTCCTCTGCTGGACACTGTCAACCCTGTCTCTCTACCACCCTCCTGAAGGATAACGGAAGAAACCTCTAAGGGAGTTGTTAGCAGTAGGGAAGAGGAGAGGGAGGGAGCAAGGAGAGGAAGACCAGAGATAGCATAGGCACAGGTGACAACAGAGGGTACAGGAAGAGGCAGGAAGCTTGGTGTCCAGGGAGAAGCGTGGGAACAGTTAGGCAGGAGGGCTTAAGATCGGGTAGTTGTGTTTCAGTCTCTGGGAAGTAGGGTGATGCTGGTTGAGGAACTTGGCCACTAGGTGGCGGTGGTACCTTGGTCGCTCGTTCTGAGAGCTGCCCCTTGTTTACCGCAGAAGTGTTAACACAGCTGAATTCAATATTGAATAGACACATTGCATCATTATCTACACAGAGTTTTGGAGCAAAGCAACACCAGGTACCAAAGGCATCTTTAGCTATGCATTGAAAAGATGTCTAGTTGTACATGATCACAATTAGGGAATTTTAGATTTTGTTTAAAATTATTTTTTATCCTTAAGATAGGGAGTCATAGCCTCAAAGAGTATTTACTTTTTTGCTGTCATGCCTCTGCTAGAACATACTGAAACTTCACTGTGTGGCTCAGGATCAGGATGAATCTGCCCCTCAGCCCAGATGTTTCCATTTTGGGGGGTCAGGATTAGGTAAGCTTTGGTTCAAGAGTGGCATATAATTGGACACACTCTCTGTGTGCGTTTCCATAGAACTCACTGAGGGGCTCATAAAGCAATTTCTGCCTTGACTGGCTTCTGGGGCGATTCCTTCAGGGCTGGGGAAGAGCCACCACGATTCAAACACATTTGTTCCTCCAGGAGCTTTCACAGAGTCTTAATTTAGACAAAACTACACTCATCATTTCCCTCACCCTATTTCTAGTTGATAATTTAAATAATAGAGACAATGAAATGAGTAGATTGATCTTGAACTTAACACCTAAGACTTGAAAATAAAGCAATTAGAATGCTTTTCAAAATAAAAGAAGATTTCTAGAGACTTGGACTATTAATCAATCAGACATAGGTAGAAAATCGTTAGGCTAAAGTTTCATACTAAGTTGTCAGTCAGTTCTTTCAAGATGAATCTTTCAGAATTATATTTATTTTAAAATAAAAATTTAAATTCGAGGAGAAAACAGTTTCCCAGCCTGCCAGAATTCTAATGCTGAACTGTGATGTCTTTTCTAAAGCACAGCGGACTGTGGCGTTGAGAGGTCCTGTCCGCCATTTTCTCGTCCACCCTCTGTGCTCTTGGCTTGGGTCCACTTTCTCCCTTCTTCCCGGTGATCTACTGCTTTCCGTCATTTCCGGATCTCTCCCGTTTACTTCCACGCTGCTCTGGTCTGCCTTCATTTCTTCTTTTCTCTGGTTTTCCTGCTGTTTTCTCTCTCCCTCCTCACCTCTGCTGCTCCTTCCTTGCTTTGCACTGCTCATATACCAGCACATTGAGGAGTGTTAAGTAGCTTATTTATCAGAAAGAGATTTCTGCTTTTCATTAGAAATTATTAAATCCAGAAAAATAGAATTTATATATGACTTTCAAAAACAGCAATGTAAATCACTAGTAATTTCCATGTTGCCTGGAACCCTGCTCCTACCATGATGATCCAGGGGCATGATAGCAGGGGCAAAGGAGTGGGAGGGCCTGCCTCCCTCCTCACAGCTGCCAAGGCGCTCTGTGGCTGGCAAGGGGTGACGCAGGAGAGAAAGGTTTCTACAGCCCTGATTCTTAAGTGTCTTTTTGTCATGGTTTCTCAACCAGGCCGACCTGCTGCTCCTGTCAAGTAGTGAGCCGCACGGTCTCTGCTATGTTGAAACAGCCGAGCTCGATGGGTAAGTACTTAATCCGAGTAGCTGGTAGGCTACTGTGTAACCTGAATGTCTTCTTCAGCTGTCAGACAAATCTTATTCTTTATTTCCTTGTGAAACATAGAAATCTAAATTGTCAAGTCCATTGTCATCTACGTGGCAGTCATTTTGAAACAGTTTTTCTCTTGAATTTGTTTGGAAAACACTGACTTTTTAGCATAGTTTCTTTCAGAAATACTATGCTACATATGTGAACATGAGTAATTTTACACTAGGATTATTCAGCGAGGTTCCTTTTGGGGTTTTTGTTTGTTTGAATCTCATTTTCTAAGGAAAATGTGAGGGTGGGAATCAAGGTTCCCAAGAAGAAAGATTGAGATGGCTTTAAGAGGCGAATGAAGACACAGAGAGACAAGAGAGACGGATATGATGCAGTTTTGACACTGGCTTTGGAGTCCAGCTACAGACCACTTAGTTCTGTGGCAGAGGACTCCATTGTCTGGCTGACACTACTGACCACTCGCTTTGTAAAGGTACTATCTCTCTGTACGTGCACGACTCAGGTGATCTGTAATCCTGATGGTGGTATTGTATGAGACCTACTGTAGAACATGAAGCCTAGGCTCAGATAGCCAGGTAGCTTGCTCAAGCCGACAAAGAGTGAAGGTAGGACTCAACCAGACAGCATGAGGCACACCGTTTTAGCCAGTGCCTTTCAAGTCATTGCCTTGATGAGAGACTGGAGCAGTTCAGCCTGTGTAACCTAGCAGTCAGGTTCAGACTCAGCTAAAGCTGTCTTAAGAGGAGAATGGGTAACATTGAAGTCATTCATGTACCAAAAAGAGAATGGGTCTCAAATCAATTGTCCATTCCATCTCAAGAACCTAGAAAATAGCAAAATAACCCCCAAATTCAGAGCAAAACACAACAAACTCGATACAAAACAGGACAAAATGAAAACAACGGGACACGGTTGGTTCTCTGAAAACATCAGTTCATCCAGAAACCTCAAGCAAGGCTGACAAAGAGCAAGGAGAGAAGAGGCAGCTTCGGGATGCCGTTAACAAACGGAGAATGTACAAAACATCCTGAAAATGGCAGCTGGATCATGAAGCCATACTACAAACAGCTGTACACACATACATTTGACAACTTAGATGAAGTAGACCCGTCCTCCAAAAGCACACAGACCATGCACTCACTACGAGACATAAAACTCGAATAGCCTTATAGCTAGTAAGGAAATTGAATTCAAATGTAAGGACTAAAACTATAAGAAATTTAGGCAAAAACATAGGAGAAAGACTTTCAGGTTTGGGCTAGTCAAAGGATTGTTAGATTGGACATAAGAGTGTTTACAAGAACGGGGACTTGGCCCTGGGCTGGTTTCTCCAGGGAGAAAGTGGGTGGAGACAGAGAGCAACACACACACACACACACACACACACACACACACACACACACACACACATGCACACGCGCGCGCGCGCACACACACACACACACACACACACACACACAGAGAGAGAGAGAGAGAGAGAGAGAGAGAGAGAGAGAGAGAGAGAGAGAGAGAGAGAGAGAGGACTTCACCTGAATTACCTTTACTCCATACAAATGCTTAAAGACTAAAAAAATAAGCAACCCTAGTTAGAAAATAGGCAAGTGACGTTAGTAGATATTTGGACAAAGGGGACACACAGATGTCGAACAAGCACACAAAAAGGTACTCAACATCATCAGTGACATGAACGCTAACGCCACAATGCTCTGCTACACAGGTCCGTAAGAATGGCTGTGACCAGCACAGTGACAGCTCCAAAGCTGGCAAGGATTTGGAGAAGCAGAATCTCCCTCATGTTACTGGAGGGAATGTAAAGTGCAATATTCATTTTGGGAAAACAGTCTGTCAGTTTCTTAAAAACTAAACATAAAATTACCACATAACTCAGCAATTTCAAACTGGACTTTTATTCAGAGGAATGAAAACTTACATTTACATAAGCTCTATAGTGAATGCTTAGGGCACATGCATTTCTTACATCAGGAAAGAAATAACTTGGATATCTTTCAAACGAATGGTTGAGCAACCTGGGGCATCGTGGAATACTGTTCAACAACAAAAAGGAACAACTTATTAATAGATACAAGGACTGGGCTGTTTCTTCAGAGAACTGTGCTAAGCAAAACCAGCTCGTCCTAAAGGTCTCATGGTTTCACAGAAAACACACTAGCGTTTGCTGAAGAGAAAGTGAGGCAAGAATCCCTAGGAAGCTGGCGTGGCACTCCCTTTAACATGATATGGGAGTGACAGTCATATGGTCACCACTGGCCATCGCAGCAGAACCTGCTGCCTAACATGTGTGGTTCTGTTCATGAGAAGAGCAGCTATCTGTGATCTGTCCAGCATGTTGGTTGTGCCATTCAACACCAAGAGTTTCTTGGGTTGACCCTCTAAAGAGGAAGGCTGCATTCTTTTCCACATTAGAATTTCAGCTACTGTAAAAGTAGCCATGGCTGTCTTGCAAACAAAACCCCACAGAAAGCAGACATCGGAGTGATACTGGACTCCTTTTGGCAACGGTGTTCTAGTTCCAGTGTGTTTTATAACTCATATAGGATGTGAGAGAAGGTTTGGATGAGACCATATTTCTTCTGTTCTGTGTTCTTTTGAACACAAATGCAAAACAGATCTCTGCATTGCTACACAGATGTGCTGTGGGTAGAGTGCCAGCTCCAGAATTTGGAGACGCCCACTTGCTTTGCTGAGATAGTATGGGGAGGGGGTGTGTGAGTGACACTCAAAGCCAGGTTCTGTGGGTCTCCTCACTTGGGTTTTGTGTGCTGCCTCCTCTGTTGAACTGTTTTGTACAGAAATTCATGTCATGTCTTTCATTTAATAGGGAAACAAATCTAAAAGTTCGTCAAGCGCTACCTGTTACCTCAGAACTTGGAGCAGATATTAGCAGCCTTGCAAAGTTTGATGGTAAGTGCTTTAAATAGACAAAAAAAAAAATCTAAAAGCCAGAAGGCAGCAAATTATCTGAGATTTCTTCCTTCCTTCCTTCTTTCCTTCCTTCCTTCCTTCCTTCCTTCCTTCCTTCCTTCCTTTCTTTCTTTCTTTCTTTCTTTCTTTCTTTCTTTCTTTCTTTCTTTCTTTCTTTCTTTCTTTCTTTCTTTCTTTCTTTCGCTTACTTAGTGGGAAGACACAAAATTCTGTAGGCACTAATGGCTGTCACTTGTGCTCATGCTAAAGGCAAGCATGGCTTTATTAAGCCACCACCTAGCTTATCCTCATGTCTTCTTTTATGAATCTCATTCCCTGTTGCCCACAGTGACCTTCTTTTGGTAGCTTTCTGCTTCCTGGAGTTTGGTGTAGACTCACTGAGGGTGGATATGTTGGCATTTTAGTTCCAGCCCTAGGTCTGGCTTTTCATCCAATGGCTGTGCAACAAAACCAGTGCTTAGATGATGATTTATGAAGACAGGCCTTCTGCTACACATGCTTCTGTATTTTGCATAGTGGCATACTGTTTTGAAACCAGTAGGTGTTTGATGAGAATCTCCAAGTTACAGTCAGTCATCTGTTGCCTTAAGTTTTTGACCATGGCTTCATCATCATTTTCATCATCATCATCATCATCATCATCATCATCTCATTCAACACAGACTCTCTTCCTCAGCAGGTCTTTGCTTTTACATGTTTCTGGCTGTATCTTGTGCTAACATTATTTTCTTTTCTCTCTCTTTTTATTTAGATAACATTTTTTCATTTATTTTACATACCAACCCCAGTCTCTCCCCCTCCTCCCCCCACCCCACTCCCCGCTTCCCCTCTACTCCACTTCCTATCCACTCAGGGGCAGGCCTCCCATGGGCTTGAACAAAGCACGGCACATCAAGTTGAGGCAAGTCAAAGCTTCCCCCAATTGTGTCAAGGCTGTGTAAGGTAATCCAGTATGGGGAACACGTTTGCAAAAGCCAGCTAAGTGCCAGAGACATCCTGATCTCACTGCCAGGAACCTTACAAACAGACCAAGCTACACAACTGTCACACATATGCAGAGGGCCTACGTCAGTCCCATGCAGGCTCCCTAAAGTTGGTCCAGAGACCATGAGCTCCCATGAACTCAGGTCAGCTGCTAACATTATTTTCTTAAGTCCCATGGAAGGCCTCTAGATACCACCCACCCTAGATGGCTGCATTTTATGGTCCCATGACCACAAAGGAATTCCTTTAAAAGTAAAGGAAAAGAGACACTAATTGTAGAATTTTATGCATCATGCCAGGGAGTCTGGGGCTTTCCTGCCACTCCTCAATAGTCTTATGCATTACTCACTTGCAAGGTTGGTTTTGAATATCATTATTTCCATACAGGTTGGTCTGATTTATTGAAGAGTCTTACTAACTTAAGTCTATCCTTCCGAAATGTTTTCTTTGGAGTTTACTGAGAGATAATGAAGATAAAGGATCTTGGCAATGTCCCTTGAGTTAAAGGCCAGGCAAGTTTATAATGTGACTCTTCTCCAACACACATTTCAGAATATATATGGTCCGTGCTTGGCATTTGCTTGTAAATTCTGCCTGGATTATGTTAATATTTTAATCTCTCTTAAATGACTGTTATTGTAATAAATGTTTATAGAAAAATATTCTTCCAAATTAAGATTTAATTTAGAAGGGTAGCCAGGAAACTTTGAATAGCCCAAGAAATATTTTGATTAGATTAAAACAAATGACAAATTTTGTAACCAAGTAATTTTTTTCAATGAAATGTTACTGTTATGTGAATCCAAGAAAAGTAAATTGTATTCATGATTCAAAATACTCCTTAAAATACTGTATTGACTATTTATGGAACCCTAAAAGGGCAACCTAAATATAATTTACCATTATTCACTTCTTCCCTGGCAGCAATGTACCTTTATATGTCTGTCAGGATATAATTAGGTATAAATCAAAGAGTTTTAGTTTTCTTAATGATCAGAAAGCATAAAATTGTTGTTTTAACTATTTCTTCCTTTACATAGATTTTGGTACAGGTAGCCTAGACTACAATGCCATTACAAGCAACCCTGAAATCTCAGTGGTGTGAACACAGTAAAAACCATTTCCTGCTCATGTCAGTTCTGATGTGTGCAGGGCAGATGACCCCATTTTGTAGCCATGGAACTTGGACTGAGGGTGAGGTGAGGTGAAGGAGACACAGTGACTTTTGTCTACTTTTTTCCTCTTATATTTCATGAGCCCCGATGCTACTGTAAGGGATATTAGGAAGTGACAGATGTGGCTATTTGTTGAGTGGTGCCCAACATGACCACCTTGACTGCCATGCCTGCCACATCTAACCCTGGCATCTTAGGATCTTCACAGAGAAAATGACATCCCCCCAAACTAGAGGCCACGCCTCTACAGCCCTCTGGGATTTTGATCTCTGGTGTCACAGGACCCACATGGAGCTCCTGCCTCCTCAAGTCAGAGGCCACACCTCCTCTTTCCACTGGCATCCTAATCCTGCTATCTCAGGATCCATGTGAGTTACTGCCAACTATTCAGGTTGGAGACAATATCCCTGTTGTCTCCTGTATCCTAACCCTACCATCTTCAGGCCTACCCCTCCACCCAGGTACCCCCTCTCTGCTAGCTCAAAGCAAGTGCCTGCTGATGAGGTCAGAAGTCACAGTATAACCTAGCCTGGCTAGAATCACCTTAGCTACCTCACATTCAAATCAGGACTGAGTAACCCCAATTGAATGTAAAACCTCAACTAGCTGATCTAAAACCAGCCAAGCCCCAGTAACAGCAAGCCGAGACTTAAACATCCACTCAACATAGGTGCATCAGAAACCCATACCAAAAACTACAGCTGATGAAAGATGTGTAAGCCAATATAAAAAAACCAAGATTGGAATGGGGAGATGGCTCAGTGGGAAAAGTGCTTGGTGCACAGACATGATGGGGGCGTTAGATCTCCAGAACCTACATAGCATCTGGATGGGAGTGGTGGCCCACTGTAGTCTCAGTGTATGGGAGGCAGAGACAAGGAATTCTGGGAACAAGCTGGCCAGCCAGTATAACTGAAATGGTGAACTCTGGGTTCAGAAAGGGACTCTGCCTCAACAGTATACAAGTTGGAGCAATCTCCGACCTTCACATTCATACACACAAACCTACACCTGCACACATGTGAGCACACATACACTCATACACAGCACACACACGGTCTCAAATGAAAGCTGTTTAGACAAAACTCCAGAAAAATAATTGAAAAAAGTATGTTCTGAGAATTCACAGAGGGCATGGATAAACTCTTGTAAGAATTTAAAGAAGACTGTAATAAAGTATTGAATGAATTCCAAAAGCATACACACAAACAGATGCTGAAATTAGGAAGTCAATTTAGGATATGAGAATAAATTTCAATGAAGAGATAGACTTACTGGAAAAAAAAAACACAAAATGAAATTAAGCTGGAAATGAAAGATTCCACAAGTGAAAGATAAAGTGTAGTGGGAAGCCTCACTAAGGTGTCTGGAGGACAGAAGAACATCAGAAGAATTGTATTATCCAAACAAAGAAAATGAATTCTTAGTCAGGGAGCACCCAGAAGCCTCCCAAACAACACAAACTGTTGCCATCACTCTCGGTCGCCAACCAGAACCAGACAGTAAAACCCTAGTGCTGAAGATACCTCATAGATTTGTTTATAGAACATAGAAAAATGAAGTTTGAATTGAGCAGGAGCTCCCTCTGACTTGTGTTCATAGTGTTAGAAAATGCTGGAAGGTGTTGGAAGGTGCTGTGTAGAATGTTGGGGGAGAGAAATTGTCAATGATCTTACCCAGCTGTAGATTATTTTCGAAACAACACTTACCTGCCCAGAAACACATGCCCACTGGTACTAGAGTATTCTGGGGGTTACCAATCACTTTTTGGCTGAATTTGAGATCTGCTCCATTGGAAGGGATCCATGCTTGAGGCTGCAAACCTGGCTAAAAGTTAGGGAGATCACTGGCTCTAGAGTGAATGCTGCTGAAGCTCTAGTGAACTGGACATGTAGTTAAGCTGCCTTCTGAATATTTGCTTAAACCGTAGACTAGTGCAAGACTCAGCCTCTTGTAGCAGTGGGTAACTGTCAAAGCTGGAACTCAACTGACCAAAGTGCTGAAGATAAGTGACTATTGAGTGCTTAGCCCCAAACAGGACATCTGTGCCATCACCCTCAAATCCCAGGAGCTCTGCAGAGGAGAAGGTGGAGCCTGGGAGAGTCAGAGAGTGGGGAGGAATGCTGTGAAATGACCTGGCTGCTGCAAACATGAACAGAATACCTGCACAAGACCTGTGGGCATGCAGAAAAAGCAAACATCAGTGTGGAGGGGGTCATCGGGAAGAAGGGGTCAGGAGAAGTATTAGAGGAATAAGAGAGGCCAATGGGGTGTGAATATAATCATGGTCCTTGCATATAGGTATAAAATGGCTAAAAACCAAACGTTAATATAAAAGAGAAATCAATAAATTTCAGGGTTTCTTCTGGTGACTAGAAAGGCTTCCCCATATGCCATGGGAATCAAAACCCAATGTTCCATCTCTCAGTTTACATTAATGATGTTAATATTATCTACTTTTGGAAATGTCCTCACCATATTTGGGAAGTTGAAACAGACAAGACCCATGTATGAGGCACGTTCTTGCTTATGCTGTGCTACATACAACACACATATACACATACATACATACATACATACATACATACATACATACATACATACATATTGCTTGCAACTTCTGGGCACATCTGGATATCACACTATTTTTTTTTTAAATTTCTAGTTACTCTATGGCTTTTCTTCTAATATTTTCCAAACTATGCTGGCACCAAGCCACCATTTTCTGTTCCTATACTATAAGTGCACATTTATCTTCCAAAGTGTCAGAAAACCCAAATCCCCACTCCTGTTCTTAGGGAAGTCACCACTGAGGGCAGT